TGCGCCAAAATGTCATCACATCGATCTTGTTTCGCATGTGGCCCTGCATTTCATATATTTTTATTCCTACTGTGACAGCTTTGTTTTGGAGAGGGACTCGACCTCAGTACGGAGCATTTCAGTAGCTTTAAGCCAAAATATGAAAAACGTTTATTCAAACAACCTCAAATTCAGCAACGCATTCACTAGAGTTCACAGCGATTCAGCGGCCCAGCTTGAAGTGGAGAGGAAAAATGGTTGTTGAGTTAAACAATTTTACTGCGAGTTCTTAAATTATGAGTTAGGTGTGCCTTTGGTTAATGCAGTGTTGAAGGAGTTACAGTACTGAGCAAAAGTCTTTATTTCTTAGTATTTTGCTTCCAAGCATCCAGACTTTCTTGTAATCTTTTAAAGATGTCTTATTAAGCTACTTAACACTGATCTGTGAATCATTCAAGAATAAAAAGGCACCTAATTCAAGAACCGGAGTTCAGGCTATGTTGAAGAACAAATGTGGTCATACCAATTAATGACTTTCTTTTGTACCATATTTCCATGTGTGTTTACATGTTTCAATAAACTGCTGCATGTATTTCCCATTTCCCTAATGTCTAATGTCACCTCAGAGAAATGATGTGTTTGCACAGTACTGTATGCAACCATGTTTGAGGAAACAAGAAGCATCTGTGAATTATGTATCAACATTAAATGGTGTTAATACATAGTTTTTGTTATTGCCACTAGTTAAAAAGTATCAAGAGATATTACTGGATTCTTTGATCTAAAGAAACCCTAAAGCTTGCTGACTTTACTGCTAAATCACAGTATGACATGGAGCAGTCAGGTACCTGGCAGCACAAATCAGATGTTCTTTAAAAGCTAGAGATGACTACTGGTGGCCCAGACTCTCACTGCATTCCTCTGCTTTTATCATCTTCTGCTTGTTGTTTGGTTTAATGCATTCGTTTTCATCACTCTGTCCCTGTAGTCAGACGTAGCAAGGAAAAATGTCCAAGGTTTTCTCATTGCTCAAACAAAAAGCTGTGGGGAAAGATGTGGCTACTGAGACTAGTCTGGCTCAGAAGATGGCTTGTTTCACAAGAAGACATTCTTTCAAGAGCCTTTTTCTTACTGGCACATTGCGAAGTGGCATTTTTCCATGTTGTGGTTGATGCTGCACTTCACTCTCAAGAAGAGGTTTGACACAAAGTGAACTGTCAAGGACAACTTTGGTGTTCTTTTGAAGTTCAGCAATCTCATAGAAATGTCAAGAGTCACTTTGAAGAGTCACTGTAAAGGGTTAGAGAGGAATCTGCTGAGTACACTGAAGACTCTGACATCTGCGGTGCAAAAGTGACTGAACACATCTTAAACCTTCCAGCTGTTCACCTAGGATCAGAGCAAAGCAGCCTCTGAGCCTGTTTCATAAAGTTACAGGAGCTCAACCTTGATGTTAAAGGTTGCCGTCAGAATTTCTGCAACACTGTCAAAGTAGTTTTTGTGAGCTTTTGTGAGCTAAAGTTTTTTTAAATTAAAAAAAATAAAAGAAGAAAACCCGGTGCTTTGTAATTGTTCTTTTAACCATATATTTAGTTAAAATGTTAAGAGAATCTACAGAAAACAAAGAGTAATACAAATCTAACCAGTTGATAAGATCTTTCATCTCATACTGTTAGATGCTGCAGCCGTCGCAGGGATACAAAGGTATCCTTTTGCAGCCCCACCTTGAGGCACCGTCTGCAGATAGCAACAAATTATAAGTAATAAATCTGTCAGTCAGTAGTACACACATTTGTCCTGTGTTATCAGTGTTTATACTTGTGTATGATGTATGGGGAGGTCAGGTGAGTCTAAATCAAACACTTAATACAAAACTAAGAAATAACGCTTTATTTTAGCACCAAGAGGTTTTCTCACATGCGGAAAGCAGCCGTAGCTGAGGCTAGTCTTGTTTAAGCTAAAGTCGCAGTATTTTTACTTCAGTTATCAAAGGTCTGTTTGGAGAGGAGAGGATTTGAACGGTAAATAGAAAAGTAATTGAGCAGCTTTACACTACAAGGTCTTTAAGTGTTGTCTAACTATAATGCACACACCCTGACGGATACACTGCGGGCACTTTGGCATTCAGGATCTTGCCCAGAGAAACTTCATCGCACCGACCCACGGGAGCCGGGGATTACACTACTGACCTTAAGATTGACGATCGATTGGTGCTCATGAGCTACAACCAAAGCGCCTTAACATTGCAACATTTAATTTTGAATTCGCATATTTGACACTTTTTATTGCCTTGAAATTTTTCCGCACTTCATAAACACAAGTCATCTAATTTAGAATTTCTCTTTCTTGTAAAACATAAATACATTTGATTCTCAAGAGCAGCTGTGACACTAAGCGGCTCTATGGGTAGAGAAGAATCATTCAACCTTACTGAATGGGGCTTTTGAAGACCATGGTGATTAGAAATTAGGTTTCCTATTTATACCGTAATGATCTGTATGCTACAGTTGAGTAACGTAAAGTAAGTTCAAAGAAAAAGCTTGGACTAAAATGGACATCATATTGTGCTTAAATAAAAACTCCTTTATTCAGCATATGAAAGCCTTGAGTAGGACCTCCACACCAACATCCCAGAGATGTTTTTCTCTATAACATAACATTTAAGGCTCTTCTGTTGTATAGCTCAGAGTGTCGAGTAACAAGGACAAAAAGAAAGAGACTTGCCAAAGACCTTGAGCCAGAATTACACCAGCTGAAAGGCGAGCATGAAGGAGTTTCAAAACCAGACACAGGAAAGAGGATTTCTAAAGAACTTCAACCTCAGACTTGAGGAACAGAGGAATCAATATGGAAACGACCCTGTCCTTTGTGTGAGTAAGAAAGAAAGAAAAAGATGCCCAGTGTGCTCTTGTTGCATTCTGGGTAAAATTTGCAGGGACAAAGAACGAGGGTTTGCAATTTCTCACATGGAAAGCACATTTCTTTCTTCACCTACTGTGAAAAAAGCTGGTTGATCGCTACTGTGGATTACCCAAAAACAAAGGTGAAAGAAAGTTTCTGTATAAGCTCTAGACTCGAGATATGCATTTTGAAAATTGAGATAAAAAATTTTACTTTCTACATTTTCCAACCTCTTCAACATCCAAGTGGGTCATTGGTGACCTACATAAAGGCAGAGTTAAGTTGGATTTCAGCCACATGACTAAAAAACATTGATTCATAAGTTAGAACATGTTGCCTTTCAAACTGAACAAGCATCTGGCTTTCTGTTATTAGACTTTTATTTTGACATGCTATGAAATTTCCATGAAAAAGCCAACCTTCAGTTCAGTGAGGTTTCCTAGCATTTGTTTATGCACAGCACTTCAGGAACCTTGAGACCTGGACTTGCTGCCACAAAACCCCAATTCTTCTTTTTCTGTTGTAGATTTTCTAATGTGCTCAGGATCATCATCCTACTGCAAGGCCCAGTTTGGGCCAAGCTTTAACTGTTGGACAGATAGCCTCACATTTGACTCTAGAATACACTGACATACACAGTTCATTGTTCACTCAATGACTGCAAGGTGCCCAGGTCCTGTGGCTGCAAAACAAGCCCAAATCACCTCCACCACTGTGCTTGACACTTGGTATGAAGTGTTTGCTGATATGCTGTGGCACTGTGCATTGGTCTCCTTGAACCAAAGAACATTGTTCCAGAAGTCTTGTGGTTTGCGAACCTAAACCATGTTGCCATGTTCTTTTTAAGGTAAAGAGTTTTCCTAGGGGACCCTTCCAAACTACAGGTACTTCTTCAGTCTTTTTCTAATTTTACTGTCAAGAACTTTAACATTGAATATTCTAACAGAGGTCTATTGAGTCTGAGATGGAACTTTTTCTAAGCATTGCACAATCTGACTTTGGGGTGAATCTGCTCGAACAGCATCTCCCGTGGCACTGTGTAAACACATGCCTGAATGCTACAGAGGCTTTAATAGAAGTAGTTGTCACACTTTCTAATGATCAATTAATCAGCTCCATTTCATTACAGCACCTGGCTGCAACTTACCCTTTTAATTTATATTATTTTCTAATTTCTGGAAGCAGTAAAAGTGTACTTATTTCACCTGAAAATAAATGATAAATGCAAAGTGAATTGTAATTTTGATTGATTTTTTAATCTTCAAATACTGTCCATCCATCCATCCACCTACCCATTAATTTTCATCCACTTATTTTCAAATATGTCTCCTTCAAAATTCAATTGCAGTTTACCTTTTACATGTTCATCATTAAATCTGTACTCACTCTGTGTCGGTGATGACATAGCCAAAGACATCATCATCTTTCTTCATCTTGCTGGCTTTGACGTCCAACTGTAGCTCAGGAACGTGCATCGTCTTCTTGTGAGGTTCATCGTACACAAGAGAAGCAGGAGGGGGTGCCACCTCCTTGATCCAGCCTGCCACCTCCAACAGCTCCTCTACAGACTGGGTGGTATCCTTCTTTTGCACCGCCACCCCTACTTCGCTAGTCCGACTCTGGACGTTTTCCAGCCCCACCTGCTGCCCTCTGGGTGTTTGACTGGCATCGTCATAATGGTTTTTAGCTGGGGGAGGTCCGGTGAAGGAACTTTTGTCAAGGTAGGCGAGAAGCTTGGTGAAGAGGCTGCCACTCTCCGTCTGAAATAAGAGCCAATGAAATACCGTGGTTAAATAGACTGGTTCTTGTATGATGCTTTTCTACTCCAACTGCGCACTCAAAGCGCTTTACACAACTTTCCTCACTCACCCATTCACTTTCTTTTTTCCTATGTAAGTCCTTCTATCTAACATTCTTACGTACTCATAGGTTAATCAGAGAGCAACTTGGGGTTAGTATTTTGCCCAAGGATATTTGGCCCGCTGACTGGAGCAGACAGATCAAACCACCAACCCTTACAATTAGTGGGTGATCTGCTCTACCACCTGACCTACACACAGCCACCCCAAAACTAGGTTTCCATGTAGCAGGAACAAGTTTCTCCCCCCACTGTAGTAAAGTGACTCTGGTGAGACTTGAACCCACAATCTTTGAATTTCATCTGACACAAACCAATAGCAATCCAATGTGCTATCCATTGCACCACAGAGCCTGACAGTAGGTGATCCAACTCTTACACAGAACTTAATTTATTTCAGACACCTAATTAAAAAAAATACAAACCTGACTAATGAGCTCAATTTTAAGCTTAAGACACTTAAGACATAGTGTCTCTAAAAGAACATGAGGCGACGTCCGTAGCAACCGTATCAAAACGGAAAGAATCTGTGTGGTGCTTTTTCTAGTTAAATTGCACTGCTCCCAACCAGTGCAATGATTTGCAAATCCCATAAACTTATGTTTTATTCACAGTGGAACACAGAAAATAAATCCAATCAAATGTGAGAAAGTTAACAATTTTAAGAAAAAACATCTGATCGTTTTAAATTTGACGGCAGCAGCATGTCTCAAAAAAGTAAGAACAGTGCCATGTTTACAATGTGCAGCATCCATTCTTCTTTTAAAAAGTCCATAAACATCTAGTAAATGGGGAGACCAGCTGTAGGACTTCTGGGAGAGGTATATTATCCAATTCTTGTGTGATATAATATTCTAGCTACTCAGCAGTCCAGGGTACTCTTTTTCATATTTTCATTTCATTAAAATTGCTTTCAGTTGCTGAAAGATCTGGACTTAGTGGCAGGCTAGCTCTGCACCTGGACTCTTCTAAAACTGTACGAAGCCATGGTGTGATAATAATAGATGAAGAAGGTGCCTTTCCAGATGTGCAAGCTGCTAATTCCAATGGCTCGAATGCACCCCCAAACCATCAGAGATCCGGGCATGGATCCATCCTACCTTGTGCCAATGGTTCGGCATTAAACCACCCAGTACCAGGGTGGTTTAATGCCGTGGGAGTTATTTTCTTGGCACATTTTTGATTATTTAGTATCTACTGAGCATTGTTTAGCCTACCTGATGGTTGCTTCCAGCAAGATAAGGTGCCATGTGACTAATCTCAAACATGAAAATCAGTTCACTGTACTCAGATGGCCTCTACAGTCACCAGATCACAACCTAATAGAGTACCTTTGGGATGTGGTGGAATGGGAAATTTGTCTGTAGCCAACAAATTTGCAGCAACTGTGTGCTGTTAGGCACATACTTAATGAAGTGGCTGTTAAGTGTCTAATGAAACAATATTGAATCAAGTTCTTTTTCTTTTAAACTGAACTTGTGGGAGTTTTCCTGTTGCTGACATTAGCGTGTTGGCGATCTGCAGCTACAGGCATGAGGAAATAATTGCCTTGAATCAAAGAACAGCCACCCTGTCAGACTTATGCTGAATAGGGTTTTAATATGCTATTATTCTTCTGGTCCTAGCTTCAGGGTAATTGCTCGTCTTGTCAAGAACTACATCTCACTGCAGCAGCAATGCCATGTGAGCTAAAAACATAGTTTGTTCTGTCTCTGAGCACTTTGAAATACAATCTTCTTTGCAACTTCAAATTGTTTTTTGGGACCAGCAAGATGCATCAGCCTGGAGGGAATTTTCAACGAGCAGAAACAAAATAAGAAATGAGTACAAGAAATAAGCACAGAGAAGACGTTGCTTCTATTCCGGCGTTGATTTCAGCAAATCTTATCCTAAATATATTTTTCGCTACAAAACACAAATAAAAAGTAGTTGAAAATGACATATTACATTTTATTTGTAAAGTCAGATATATGGACAAATGAATAACAGTCCCACAGTCACGAAATCCCTTTCACTAAGCTGAATGGGTTTTTATCAAACACTGCAGCAATAGATAACTATTGCTCTAAAGGTAGTGCAGCATTTAGTTATGTGTCAGCATGTTATCTGACATCAAGCTGTGTGATAAACATCAGTCTTCTGGATTGGAAAATTGTGTAGTTGTTTGTGTTTATGGACACATAATGACATAATGTCAATGTGGAATTTTTGCATTCTGTAAAAATGAAAAATATTCATTCTTTCCTTATATATATATATATATATCTATAGATAGATATAAGGATAGGATGAATATTTTTCATTTATATACACTTATGTACACATATATACACACATATATATATTAGTGCTGTCAGCTATAACTGCATTAATCCGGCAAATCTCCATTAACAAGTTACCGCAGATCGCCCTGTGCGTGGGGCTGCATGGCGTCAACTCGTTAGTGCGGTTAGCTCGTTAACGCGTTAATCTAGTTAAAATGGCATTAACGTAATTTTAACGAGATTAATGCTGATAGCACTAATATATCTACATACATACATCAGTACGTATGAGACAGATGGAATAAAGGCATTCGTGTTCAGAAACACAAATCAGTAGAGAGTTTCTGACTATTTCACAAACTGCCGTGATGACCTGTTGTCATGGCTGTAGTCACATGTCTGGACAACACAAACATTTTAAATGCATGAAAAAAAATTAGCTTGTTTTAGGGTTTTCACATTTTTAAGAGATTGAAATTTCCGCTTTTAAATCAGCCACGATCCATTTAATGTCAAACTAAAGCATTTCTGCATGTATAAGTCTTCTTGTTTAAAATGCAGCACTAAAGTAACTGGTTAGTAGTGTGTAACCATCACAGTCTGTTGGTTATTCATAACCCGCGAGCGTTCTGATGTCCTTCGTGACAGGACTTTCTTGATTTGGTTGGTTCTCACGTCTGTCTGGAGGTGAAGAAAAAAACCTCTGTTTCATCAGAGATTGTAATCAAGTATGCATTGACTTTAAGATGTTCCTCTGTCATTAAAATCAAGGTTCTGTCAAAGTGCAAATGAAATTGGCTTTAAAGATCCTTTGTTGCCTCTATCAGGAAGAATTTTAAACAGAACAAACGCACATACTGACTGATGCCTTGCTGAGAGCTTATAATCGCCTCTCTATCTGGTCATAATTATTTTTATTATGTAGCTTAGTAGTTTAGTAGAGTCCAAGACAAATTTTCTCTTGGAAACAATAAAGTATCTATTGGTGATCTATCCGCTGAAATTTTAAAACTTTATAGCAGAATCACATTTGGATTTTTAGACACACATCTCTACTATACATGCTAGTATTTCAACCACTGCTTTGAATAAAAGAAATCCGTGAAATAAACGAATGAGTTTACTTTTTTTTTTTTACCCAGGTTTCAATTTACAGTATAAAGGACTGAATCAGTACAGCGTCGTTGTTACAAGTTCACCTTGTTTAGCCTTAATTAATTCCAACTCACTCATTTATCCACTGCTCTCCCGATTCCTTAAAAAATGCACATGTTCATATCAGTCCGATTTATTGTGGAAGATTGTCTTCATTATTTGAATAAATAAAAAAAGAATATTATTAGTGCATACTAGCAGTATAACAAATAAAACTTTGGGACTAAAACCTGATCCATTTTGTTTTTTGTTGTCGGCAGTTCATTCTCTCGCATGAATACTGAGTTCTAGATAAATTCTTTGGGCAGTGATTTCACCCTTGCAAAATTTCATCTCATTCCCTTGTTTAATAAATTACATAACTGCTTACAATGAGCCTTGGCTTTGACATTTAAGTCTTCCCTTTCTGCTACTCTGATTGCTTACCTTGTCCTGCACATTTTGCTCCTCTGTCTCCGTGTGACGCTCTGTTGGGAGAAAGAGAATAATCATATTGATACATTTGTGTTTCAATTCAAAGCGGGAGCAGAAATACAGAAAAAGAGGTGGTTCATGTAAAAATTCATTCAGAGCTAAAAGCTGCCAAATTTCAAGGCCATTTCCTTAAATCAAATTCACCATTCTCTAATATTTTACTGATCTGAATTCACCCCTGTGTAAATTTATTTTTCACTGATGCTGAAAAAACACTAGAAAACGTACATAAATAACATATCCACTGCTGTCTGACCACAGTTTTTAATCATTTAGTTATCTGTTGAGCACTTTTAGTGATTGTGTAAACATGCAAAGCCTGAGTGGCCTCAGTGGACAATAAACCATTAACACTGGCTGGGTTTATGTTCTGCATTGAGCACAGGATGCTTATTTATTTTCACATTGATTTTTATGTTGCACTCTTGTGGCAACTTGAGAGCTCCGTTTTTTTTGTTTAATCCAGCCTACACAATTATGCATGTATTATAGACTTACTTTCCATCGCTTACTCAATACTTTAATTGCGTAAAAACAAAATGAATCACTATAAAATTACCTTGAAGTGCTGCCAGTGCGACAGGAGTGCTCTCCTGAGGTTTCAGGGTAGGAGCATTCCCCAGCAACTCATCCCTAGGAACCTCCCCCGCCTCTTCCTCTTCTTCTGCTTCTTCTTCTCCATCACTCAGCTCTCCTTCCAGGTCTCTCGGTCCTGGTCCCCTCATTCGGCTCAGGCCTCTGTTTAGTCCCTTGTCCTGATCAACTACCTGTAGAGCCTCAGCTATCAGGCTCGACAGCTGGTCCAAATCCTGCGGTGTCAGCGTATCCATGTCCACATGCTGCCTGTCAACATTCTTCAAAACGTTCTCGATGAACCTCTCTGGAGGAGAGATGGAAGTAAAATAACAATGAAAGACAAAGAAATTATTATCATTAAAGCAGACCAAATATTCTAACTCCACGCTCCATGTTTGCATTCTTGGACTTGTATGATTCATAGTTCAAAATAATATTTATTGATCTTGTGCTGGGTTTTGGTTAAGTCACTCAGTTTACCCTCTGTCAGAAACAAGCTGTTTTAACTGCCTTTCTACTAGCTTTAAGCCAGCTTCCTTCTGATTGGCTGCCCCTCGTGACCAGAAGGTTTGAACAGCAGGTGGGTGGGAGAGCTGTGTGCCTGACATGACATCCTCAGTGTATAGATTGCTGGGATTGCATAGTGGCTGCATTATTTGAAATTCTGGACATGTTTATTATGATCGTGTATTTATAAGAGAAAACAAGAAAAAGCAGAATCAGTCCCCATTAAAACCAGTTATGTAGTTTAGATTAGAGGCAATAGTCTCACTTCTCATGTCTGCTGTCTCTCTTCTGATCTCAGCATTAAATATTTTTAGGTATCTTACTGTGACGATGTGAAAGCTGTGATTTGTAGCAATGGAGCTAAAGCTGTTTATGGAG